CCTGACTCTGGAATGTCCAAATTTGGAAGCTCCCCTGAGGCCACCAAGTCTGGTTCCCAAGCCTCAGGTAATATGGTACCTTATTGCATTTAGTTTTTGTCATGGCATTTTCAACATGGTGGGCAGACAATGGCAGTGTTGCAAAAATAAATTGTTGTACTATACATCTATACTCCCTACCTTCACAAATCAGTCCTGACAAGCATGGTGAAATAATGTTAAACAACCCCCACAACCTGCATAGCGAGGTCCTCGTCATGCTAAATTGAAAAATGGGTTGTAAATATACGTGTACAAACCATTTTTCATATCACCAATCTTGTCATTTCATCACTTGATTATTGTGCGATTTCCTTGTTATTTTTCACGTCAAAGGCATAAAAAGGAAAGCGCGTTAAATGACGAAATACGCGACCAAGTATATTTTGTTTGTCATTACGAACATGCCCAATTTGATTTTGTCGTCTGCTCTTTCACCACAGATAAAGACGGGTCGAGTCCAGATGGCTCTGTGGGTTCCATACCTGGCCCACGGACTTCCACGCCTGTGGAGAGGAGAGCCAGCCGTGCAGTACGGACTAACAGTTGGTCTCCACCGGCCACCGTCCCTACCAAGAACGATTGGGTGCTGGACGAGAAGGCTCGCGTGTGCATGGCTTGCCAGCAAGAGACCTTCAGCATGGTACGGGGCGGATTACTGGTGCTTATCGTTGTCGACATTGGCTATGGGTTTTGGTAATCAAGAAGTGAGGAATAAACGTAACTGAGATATTCAGTAGATGTGATTCAATAATTATGTTTTGTAGTTTAGTCGTGGTTTTGGTTTGGCGTGCCCATTTGGTTTTGAGGGCTTCTCTTGTTCAATGCAAACTTGTAGCATTTGAGTTTGATCTCTGACCTTTCAGCAAGTCTTCACCACTTTGCACAACCTCAAAGATAACATGGCCTGTGAACTGGCAACCTAACTTTGGTTCTTGGTTTTGGCTAACATCAGTGGCAAGTTATATTTGGACTAGTCTTGGCCCCCAGCGCCTTCACCAACCCACACTAGCCAATGTGGTGAAGTTTGGCCCATCAGGTCTCCATGACTGGCATGGAGAAGCTGTCGTTAAGCAGTGGATTGACCAAGGCCTGTAAAGACATATATATATGTAATTGTTATTATGGCCTCAAAGCACTGGTTCGATTCTGTCTCTTTGCAGTTCAACAGGCGGCACCACTGCCGCCGCTGTGGCCGTGTGGTGTGCACCAGCTGTTCCAGCAGGACCATGGTGGTGGACACCTACAACTCGGGGCCTGTGCGTGTCTGCTCACAGTGCTACGACTACTTCCAAAGTGATGGGTACGGCCTCCCACTCTCTCGCAGGCCCTTTACTTGAACGTGTATATCGCATTACAACACTTTGCAAAGCAACATTTTGCGGTCGGGTCGATTAACTTGTGTAAATGCTTCCCCCGAGCTCTCATACTCTGATGGTGCATTGTCTTTGAGTTGTGCGCCTTTTGGCGTCATCTGGCCCAACCCATGTGAGACTAGGCTTTAAGGAAAGCTGTCTCGGGTGTGGACCAATCAACTTCAAGGACAGTGCACATTATCAGAGTTATGTTTTTTGTTTGCATTATGACTGCAGGTATTGTGGTGGTCTATGCAAACATGACTCCTTGTAAAAAAGGTGTCCGTTTTGTTGCCAAATAGAAGGGTTAAAAACCAATTATCATAACTTGTACATTTTAGCCGGGCGGTGGTAGCGGCATTTTCTTGGAAATCCAGCACTGGAGGGTGAGGGTTGGCGGATCGCACAAATGTTTAAAAATTCCCTTCCCGTGGACGTCAGGGTTTCATACCCTGGCTTGCCAGGAGAAGGCAGTACAGCTAAAATTCGCACTGCACTTGTTTTGTCTGTATGGGATAAATTTTCACTCTGCCTTTGTTTTTGGATTTATAGAGAGCTGTTTGGTACTTTTATATTTAACAAGCATCTTTTGTCTTGTGTGTTTGATGTTTTACAGGCCTACTGAAGGTGAATCTCCAATAGAAGGTATCTTAATGTTCAATAAATAAATATGTAAATAATCTTTATTTTAAGCTTTCGTGACTACAGGAATCCATACTCTTTGGTTCTTTCGGTACATGACTTTACCGACAGAACCAAAGAGTAAATATGTTAATAGTTAAGTAAAATATATTGATAACACGTAAAGCAGTCACTAAAAAAGTGTTGATTTTACTGCATAGTATCTCCCTGCTCAGTGATTCACTCGTAATCAAGTTAATTTCAAACATAAATATTTGCGTGACTTGCTCCATATAGTGGTAATCAACAGGTCATCAATCACAAAACACTAAAAAATTTCAGTGAAAAGAGCGTATTGTGAGCAAGATGCAATGTTACCCTTTACTTGGCTCGGTTCTGGATCAGAAGCCTTTCATACATGCTTTTAAAGCAGCGTTTTGTGGGCAAGCATTGGGGGATCGAACACACTCGCCTGCAAGGTTGTAAAGTGGCCAGGAGATGGCAGGAGGTGACAATGAGTGTGAGTGTTATTCACTCACTCGTTCGTTACTCGGTTCGCTTGTCTTAGTGAGAGTCGCAGCGGCAGCATGTTGAGTAGAGAAGTCCAGACCTCCCTTTCCCTGGAGACAGAATCGAGCTTTTCCTTGGGAATTCCCAGGCGTTCCCAGGTTAGCTGAGCGACAGTCCCACAAGCGTGTGTCCTAGGCCGACCCCGGGGTCTTCGCCCAGTGAGACATGCCCAGTAGAGTTCCAGGGGGAATCTACCAGGGGACATCCTTACCAGATGCCCGAACCACCTCAACTGGCTCCTCTCGATTCGGAGGAGCAGCGGCTCGACTCTGAAGCTCTCTCCCGCATTACCGAGCTTCTCACTCGATCACGGAGAGTGAGCCTGGCAACCCTGCGGAGAAACTTCATTTTGGCCCCTTGTTCCCGCGATCTCATCCTTTTGGTCATTACCCAAAGTTATTCACTCATGTGTTGAGAATTTTCTCCAGGTATTCCGATTTCCTCCAACATTGAAATCAAATGTAAAAAAAAACTATATGATTAAACTTCACCATATGGTCATTCTGAAATAAAGCCTAAAGGCACCCATTGGGGCTTTGTCATATAAATAAAGGTCATTATTGTTATGAAAGTGCACCACGATTGTTGTCTGCAGGTGAACCGGGGCAGGAGGAGGTGGCCGACTCGCCACTCCAGATTGTTCTGCAAGCGGGAGAGGACAATGTGTGGTCTATGTCCTTGAATACCTCAACCAGTCAGCGCATTCGTGAGGAATTCTACTACGATCAGGTACCCCTGCCACTGTTTTTAGCTCTTGATTCACATTGTGTTTCTTTCAAGCTTTCTGACAAATAAGTTTACTTCTTAATAAGGAAAAGAGGCAGTTTTGTCGTGGTATAAATACAATTATCCAATCCACTAGGCGTAACGGTGTAGGTGTTTGTGTGCTGAAAATCATTCTTCTGTGTTTTTAGGTTGTACTGCCTATTTTTTCTGCTTGATGTCCAATGTTTTCCTCCACGGGCTGAGAGCTTCTTTGAATTTAGTTCCAGAAGAAGCTTCCAGCAGGTGGAGCTAAACATCAGACATAGTGCCGAACAACACGCGGTGCAACCCGAAAACACATCGGGGTGGGGGGGGGTCCTTTGCTTGCCGACTTCCCACTCCACCATTGATCGACTCTTGCCCACAGCTATATTATAGTGTAAAGGATAATTATTGCCTTGCTCGTCTTGTTAATGGGACGGTAACGTTGTGCCCGTGGCTCAGGCGCCCAGCGCGTCGCTGTGTGTGGCCCTGCTGAAGCTGCACAGCAACGTGGTGCAGTGCAGCCACCAGCTGATCGAACACTGCCGCGAGCTGTCGCTCACACTCAACGAGCCCGAGGTGGACAGCATCCTTGTCATCGGCATCATGCGCAACCTGCTCTTCAACGCCAAGATGATGTTCTCCTCCGCTGGCCACAGCCAGGACCTCGGCGTCTGTGACAGGTCCGTGGTTTAACGTGCCGTCTCGTTTACATGATTGCAGTGCACTCGGATGAACGTTGGAAGGAACCTGCCTTTGGAGCAGAAGCATGTTTATTTAAATTATAACACAATTTGCTCCACAACAGCAAGATTAGTTTTAGTTTTTCCATTAAGCAATGGTGCTTCCATATAGCAATTGCCCATAGTGTACATACTTAATGAAGGCACGATGTATGAATATGGAATCGATTTACATGTATAGCCTGTTTATCAATCCACTGCTGCATGAAGACTCCTTATAACGTGTCAGCAGGTTGACCATACTATACTTCTCCATGCTGGTTAGTGCGGTTTGGTGAATGCGGGTAGTATAAAGACATGCGGTACAGCAATGGATGCACCTGATGATTTGCTAGTCAAGCACCAAACAGACTTAAACCTGCTTAGCTTCCAAGATCTGATGATGTTAGGTGCATTTGGGGAAATTTGGTCATGTGCATGAAATTGATGTCAAGGGGTTATAGCGGAGGCCTTGGTGGTGACTTGTGGATGTGTACGTGCCGTCTCGCGCGCTGTTTTCGCAGCTACATAAGCCGCGTTGACGTGCTGAAGATCCTGGTGTCGGCAAGCTACCGGCTCATCCCGTCCCTGTACGACATCTTGCGTCCCAGCGCCGTCACGAGACTGCGCGATCAGCTGATCCAGGACGAGCGATACCTCCTCGCGATCGAGGTCAGTCCTAAACAACAACCCTTCAGTGGCAAGCGCTCTTGTCTGAGCAAAGTATGGATTTTAAACTACGTGAAATTATATTTCAGCCTTAAAACTGATCAGCCGTGTATCTTGATCATCAGATGTTTTATAACGCAAATAGTCGTTTTAGTTTAAATTTTAATACAAAGTCACATTTCAAATACTTCACATTTAGTTTAGTTTTTTCATTGAACTTGACTTGCATAAAATTATGACTCTGAATAATGTAAACTAACATTACGCATAAAACCTGCTTGTTAGAGTAAATGTTTATTTAAGGCAGCACACAGTCTCCTCACCTCTGATTTAGCACGGTTGGCTATATACGGTGCGAAAGAAGTTTAACATACGTATAGCATGTAACACAAAGGCTCATATTTGGAGATGTGGAATTGAGTTCTGCTTATATTCATGATTTAACAAATGCCATTTTACTACGGCACGCTTAGCTTTGTGGCTATAAATCCCCAGCGCACTATAACAATGGCGAAACAATATTTAGCCTGCAGTGTGACGCTTGTTACTTTATAGTCCCGTTCCTAAAGCTCTGTGATAAATGCATCGAACATGCGTGCCAAACCATGCTGTGCCATTGCAGGTTTCGACCAAGTGTGGGCTGGACACGGGCGGGGTGTGGAGTTCCTGGGGCATGGCTTGCATGCGTGCGGGCTGCCTCTCATCGGCTCGGGAGAAGTTTTCCCGTTGCATGAGGCCACCGCCAGACCTGAACCAAACGTCGATGGGTTCCATTGTCCTGCAGGAAGTTGTGCAACACCTGGAGAGCACCATGCCGGGCAGTCTGTCGATGGTGGGCAAAAAGTCATTTCTGTCGCTTTGTTTTTGTCATTTATTCTAGATTTGAAGCTATCGTGTGACTGCAAAGATTCATACTCTTAGGTTTTTTTCGGTGAAGTCACGTAGGTAAAAAATAAAATTTAAAGTTAATAAAAGTGATAATGGAAATAAAATAATAAATCACGACGTTTCGGAGGCAACACAAGTCTCCGTCATCAGGTGGGACCGTCACAGCTAAAATTACTGCATAAAGTGATTTATTATTTTATTACTATTATTACTTTTATTAACTTTTAATTTTATTTCTTACCTTTGTCATTTATGATCCGTTCTATATGGAGGCTACCTGCCCGAGCCCACTTGCGCTGCAGGGAATTTATGTTTTTGATAATTTCAATTCCTCATGTGAGAAAGTTGTTTTAGGTTTTTTTCATTATTTCTCTTTGTTTTTTTAATGCCATTTTTGTAACCCAGGTCAGTCTTGTAAATGAGACTATCCTGGTCTCTTGAGTTCTCACCTGGGTAAACAAAATATACTTAACTTGAAGTCCCCCATCACAATGAATCCGAAATTACCAACTCTCTCCACTCATTTCGATTTAAAGCTTTCGTGACTGCAGGGATTCATCTTCTTGGTTCTTTCGGTAAAGTCACGTAGAAGGGAAGTAATAAAATAATTAAAATAATTAAAATAAAACATAATAAACTAAAATAATTCTCACGACGTTTCGGCTACAACGCAAGCAGCCGTCTTCAGGTGAGAGAATAAAGTTTAGATGGAAGCATATATAATTTTTACGACGTAGAATTGTAATGTATTACTTGCTGTTAGTAACTCAGCTTATTGTAGAGTATAGTAAGTATACTGATGATGCTATGCAGTTTATACTTTAGTTTTTTATGTAGTTTATACTTTAGTTTTCTACGTGGTTGTTTAGTAACTGCAGCTACATACTATTAACATTCCTTTCCTTTGTTAATGCTACTCCCTGCACCCTCCCTTGGTGCTGCTGATCCTGCATAATGCATGGGCATAATATGACTTTGAAACCCCCCTGCCCGCCTCCTACTCATTTCCCATGAATATGCTAAATTCCTCTTGATATGCACATTCTTTTTGTTAAGGCGCTCTTCTTCCACCTCCAACCCAGCTTATATATAAGCTCCTAGCTAGGCAGTGTCTCATTCTTCACCTGAAGATGGCTGCTTGCGTTGTAGCCGAAACGTCGTGAAAATTATTTTATTTTATTGTGTTTTATTTTTATTATTTTATTACTTCCCTTCTACGTGACTTTACCGAAAGAACCAAGAAGCTCTCCACTCAGTGCCATATTAATGTAAACAATACGCTCCATTATCTTGAAGTATATTATTGGTCCTGTTAACTCCATCTTATAAGTAACATTTCTATATAAATGCCAATTCACATACTGTGATTGAGTATAACTGTTATATGTTAATTAAAAAGCTAATTATGTTGGGTTACTTTTACAATGTTTACACCACAGCATTCGCCTATAGCTGTTACTTTCCCACAGGGTCGTGGATGACCGTCATTTTCATGGGCAAAGGATAAACCTACTACGTAAATTTTGATAAGCTGTAGCAAACATCTACAAGAAATGTGGCTAAACCCAAAAAGGAAGTGTGAAATCACACGTGTGCGTTTTTAGAATACAAATTTTACAAGACTCGTACAATATACAGATGTACATTGTTGATAATTCTGGGCGTTGGTAACATCGATGTTTGGCGCAACGTTGTGAATACCGGCTGTTGGGCAGGACGACGACGTGCTGGCTTCGCTCAACGAGCTGGAGTTGCTGCTGAAGATGGAGGGCTCTCCCGTGGCTGCGCCGCATTCTCCCAAAGCCCCGCCGCGGGACACGCGGCTCGAGGAGTGCCTCTTTTACCTGCAGCATTACGGGACGTACCTGTCGCTCGTCAGCTTCTACGGTCGACACGGCCGTTACCACGAAGCCCTCACCTTTCTGCTCGAAAAGGTGCTCTTTTTTTTATTCGCGTTTATACAGATAGTTTGTCTTTGGTGTTCATGGGTTAGAGTTTCTAGCCCTGGTTTACTTTGAAACTCTGACAATGTCAGAGCTAATAATGTTTCGGGTTACCCTCAATCTGCCCCCCTCTCCCGTGTATCCTCACCCCAACTTCCCCTGGCTCAAATCCCTTCGGTGCTTCTTGTTTTGCCTTCCCTAGTAATGTTCCTCGCTCACAAAGCAGCTGTTGTATTTAGATACCAATTACATTTCAGTTGTAATTGTAAACAACAGTTTCTTGCAGTATAAAAAACGTCAATGATATCATCAGGTGGCTGTTTAATTCTTGCTCACAGTTTCCTCCAGGATTCCTGTGTGCAGCACACATGATGTGGCTTCTGCTCTTTATACAGAACTGTGCAGAGCACGTGTTTGTAGAGGGCCTGCTCGTGCCCTGCCTGGGCAAGGGCCAGCTTGATGTGCTGGAGAAGCATCTGGAGGAGCTGGATCCCAGTCTGCAGCGCTGGAGAAAATACCTCATCGCGGCCTGCAAATCTATGGACAACAAAAACATGTCCAATGTGCTCTATGCCCTGCAGTGCTTCATGAAGGTGGGCCCTCAATTTGATTTGTCTCAATGTTCATTCTTTGGCATTCGGCATAATGTTCCATACCACCATCTCTGGATGTAGCTTGACCACACGATAGTCATTTGCAGAATTCTCCGCAGTGTGTGTGTGATGTTAAAGTATACGCATGATGCGGTCGTGTAGCGGTTCACGTGCTGCGCTATGAACCTGGTGACCTGAGTTCGATTCCCGTGGCCAACACCAGTGACGATTATATTTATCTGAACCAGTCCTGGGCCTCCCCTAGGTTTATTCGGCTTGAAATTTGTACTCGGGGTGGTGTGTAAAAACATCGCCACTGGGGAGACAAAGGCGTCAGGTGTGGTGCTGGCCACCCATCCCCCTCGTGTACCGTTCCGGCCTTCATAGATGCTCACTAACAGCACTCGCCCCAACAGTCTGTCAAGGCTATACGGGGGATTTTTGTTTTGTACCGTTTGTCGATGGTGGATGAACGATAACTTTGAGCCTCCCCTTACACAGGATAATGTGCGAGCAGCGATGACGTGCATAAACTTCTTCAGAAAAGGTGCAAACTCGTACGCTGAGCTTGCCACGCGACTGGATTTCCTGGAGAGGGCCAAGAACCACCTCAATGTTGCACTGAGTGAACAGCAAGCGAAAGCACCGACGAGTGGACCGGCTGCCAGTCGCATCTTGCCCGGCTCCTCATCCACTCCGAGCCAGAATGCACCTTTCACTCTCAAGATGTCCAAAATACAGCTGTCAAGGTTTGTACCTTGATAATAATTGCACGTTGTCTTACATGCTGCGTCGTTATTATTTTACTCCTACTGATTTCATAAAAGATGTTCTGCTTGTGACTTTAGAACTAAACATTTACTATAAAATAAGCATTACACCAAACATTTGCAAAAAAATAACAATTCCAAAATGCAGTTTTGTATTTGTGAGACGTGGTAATCTGACCTGAAGAGCAGACAGAAGCATTAAATCAACAGAACTAACAGAGCTGTATACACCACCTCACAGCAAGTCGCAAAACGTCAGATGCTACAGGAGAGTGCAACATTGCACCTTTCGACAAGGTTAAGAGAGCGGGAATCACATACCAATCATCCATTACAGAAAATGGACAACCGTGGATACATAGTGCAAGCAGTCCCCCGCTAAGCGCCAACTCGGATGACTCGCACAATTGTTTTTATTAAACGCATAATTTTTTGCGCTTGCAGGAACATACGCAGAATTGAGCTGCAGGTTGAGGTGACCCGCTTTCTGAGCCAGTACGATACAGCGACGGCGAGACCTCCGCCCACCCTATTTGACGACAACAACGTGAAGAGCGAGGTCGCCTGCCTGGTAGGCCCAGGATATGCGTCCCGTTTCACACCCACTGCAGCGTTGCACACTGCGCACACCGAGTGATTGTGGAATGTGCACCTGTGTTACGTTCCTGAGAGATTAATTTTGATCATGAATTAACATGCAACATTGACTGAACTATTTGGACAGATTAATAGATTACCTTTGTATAGGAAGTGAAGGTCAACACATTTATGCATGTCAAGAAAAATGTCTGTAAATATTAAGTATACGCTTTTAAACTATTTGTAAAATGTCTCGCTAAATTTGTTTAGACGACTTGTAACATTAGCAACTATGCCTTTGACTGCAGTGTTCGTTTTATTTCCTGGGCATTTTTTATTTTCCAGGACTAACTCTTGCGTTTGTGCCCTCTTAACCTGAGCTCATTTGGATTTCCTGCGTGCAGCTGATGCTCTCTGGTGGAAACGTGGAGGTGGGATTTGGAAATGCCTTCCGAATTCTACAGGTTTGCTACCAGTGGCCGAATTAAACATTGTGATTCATGCACACAAGGGAGCAGTGCAGCACGGCTTGGGGGCGTTTCTCTCACTGTGCTTAGCATCTTCAATTCTTTTCTTTTTAGTTTGGCTGTTGGAGCCTTTGGCATTTATGTAAGTCGGGCGTGACTTGCAACTTTCGTCGACTCACAAATCTTACATCTACCGGTTGCAAAGATATTTCATAATTTACTTAAAGTAATTATTTGTAAAAAATTGTGTGATTCATTTGCTGACTTGGTGCTTGACACATCTAACGTCAATCACTTCCCACCCCACTCATGCGGTGTTGCCACGCGACAGACGTTACTCTTTTCTATGGTAGCCTAAAATGGGTTGTTTTTTAATCTGCAAGTTTACGCATGTTGCAATTACAGTTCAAGGGATACTTTTTGGTTTAAACCTTACATTGTAGGCTATGTGTGGATAAGGAGGAATGGGATATAGAGATATATACATATATAAAACACAACAAATATATTAGTAGCTATGTGAGAGAAAGTGAAGTAATTGGCACTTAATGTAAAAATAAAAACGCAACTTAGTGATGGGATTTGTGACTATTCAGTGCTTCTGTGTACCATGTGGTTGGCGCATACCTGTATAGTTGGTCTCTCGGAATGCCGGTCTTGCTTGACTCCAACGTTTACATTGCACCTACATCCTGCCTCGATCCCATTACCCAGGTTTCTCATTCAAAAGAGATCATGAGTGCCATTGTGCCGTCATCCTCTTTCAAGGGCATTTTGGCAGAAGGTTTTATTCAGGGTGCACGTGCGAGCGTATGTGCATACGTCTGTGCGTGCGTGTTGTAGGAGTTTCAGTTGCCGGCGCTGACGGTGTACACTCGGGTGGCGCGACGCTTAGTGGAGGAGAGGCAGCTGCACGAGGTGGAGACACTGTTGCGCAATGTTTCCGAGTCCGGTTCGGCAGATCCCAATGACTGCGACTCGATTGCCCTGGACACGGTCCGCGCTGTGGCCGCCGCAACGGCAGCGCAGCCTGGCACGGGACAGCTGCAGGTGCGTGTGTGTGTGTGTGCGAGTCAGGCTTGGCAAGCAAACTCTAGCTGTGGTAACCCTATACAGAGCCCTTTCCGAGCAGTGTGCTGTTTATAGCTGCCCATGGGGCTATTCTTGGTTTTCTACCTTAGCTTGACAGAAACTCTGCACGCTAGGCATACGATACTGTAGGTGTCGCTCCTGTATGGAGTGGATTTTCAAAGGTTACGGCTACACTATTTGTGAGCTGTGACAATTTGTACAATCCTATAAACCAATCAAAAAAACTTGTTCGCTCTTAAGCATTGGAGTGATATATGCATCAAGAACTATTTATGAAGAAATTACGTTTATACTGATCATATTTTACGTGTTATATTTAAGGCAAAGGAGATTGAAAATCTGATCATGAAGATAAAGAACAATTCTGCGAAGGTACCCACACATTTCCACACAATATGCCATGTTTCATTTGCTTATTTTATGACGGCGTTTCAAGGCCGTGTTTTAACTCCACATCTTACGAATCCTGATGACGTACGTTCGAGTGCTCACCATCACCTTTGTGTAATGAGCATCCTGCCGACGCGCGCGTTGACCTGTGCCGCAGATCGAGGCCCACCTGCTGTGTGGAAAACTGCGTGCTGCTTACCTGGTCGCCGTGAAGCTGCCGGGTAGGGATGCATCGCGCTGGGTGGAGACGATCCGCACGCGAGCTGCTGAGCTGGAGCAGGCTGTAATGGTGGAGCTGTGCGAACGATGGCTGAGCACCCACGGCGACACGGCCCCGCCGCCTGGCCAATCCAAAACCTGAATCTTCGCAAAGCAACGACTGCGAGCCGCCGCCGCTCTATTCATGTTACCCACACTAATGTAAAGTTACCCCCGCGTGCATTTCATTTTCCCGTCACAAGCTCCCTTGTTTTGTAGGAACTGACGGGCGGTGCAGGGACAAGTAGAACCTATTTCCATTTCACTTGCCAAAGTTAGTTTTCCGTAAAGTGAACTGTGTAGAGGCCTCCATTGTCATGCGCAATGATAAATGGTGGCTTGTTGTCGTGTGTGCCTCTTGTGCTTACTGTGCCGGGCCAAGTAATGAGTGCACCCTGGTTATATTTGCCCCTTACTATCCTTCAGGGTTATCAGTAAGTGCCCTTAATAGGTCTGTGTGTGGTTATTTGTTTCTCTGTGACCCTTCCCTCTCTTTGACACTCGTTTGTTTCAATAGCTGGTGGTGGTGTTAGATAAATGCTAAGTCAACTTTGTTGGCTTTGGACAAAATTGGATGCTGCCCGATCTCAGCAGTTTTGCAGGCATGCACAAAGGCTGAATGTGGAATGCTGCACTTTATTCTCGCTTGAATGAACATTAGGATCTTGTTTCAAGAGTCCTGTGCTGTAATCTTTGTATCATTAATCTGTGGAGCACACGCACCACATTGTGCTCTGAAAGGCCATTAATGGATGCAAAGGGACAATAGTTTCAAACTTTACCGACTTGTGCTCCTGCACCGGTGGTTCTGGGAGACAACCCGGCAACCGTATTGGTGGAGGAATAATTTTATAAATGTTAACAATATGTTATTGACAAATTATACGTGTGTTTTGATGAACCTTGTTGCTGACTGTCACTGCACGGTATGTTACTTTAAATTCAAATAGTGAGATGAATGTATTTTTCTGAAGTTTTGTAGACTTTATAAATTGGAAGTGCAGTTGAGCCTTGAACGACTATATCCGAAGGTGCTCCGAATAGACCGCTTTGTATTTTAAGGTTAATTTCTTTGACCTCACTCCTGAATTAGAATGCATATTTCACAAGTATTAGATGAAGCTGGCCTGTACGTAATCGATCACTCTTTTTGGTCATCTTTTATAATGTACAGTAGAGTGGTTATTTATTGCATATTCAGGGAGAACGTTTTCACTTTAGCCGATAATGTACAAATAGACCAGGACACGCAATGCCAATGTGATTGCACACAATTCCGATAATAAATGATGAGGTGGTTCTTGATAATTCTTTGGCCACTAATAGCTTTTGATTAAGTGAAATAGATGTACAAAGAGCATTACTGTGCAATAGCCTTTTTTGTAAAGGTTAACAAGCTGTTAAAGCGAGTACGTGAAACGATTGTTGTCTTGGAAGTCTGTGTTCTGTAAGGGTTTAGTATGCGCTTTCCTTTTGGGTACACGAAGCCATTCATACCAAGGAATATTGTTTTAAGGTTAAACCAGGGAATGACGAGGTAAAAATAATTAATTTATCTCACGCATTACATTGGCTTAAATGTTTAATGTTAATGGTTCAATGGTTTAGTGTTTATCGTAATGAAACACCTATGTGCACTAATAATTATCCCATTGGAATATCCATACATTTGAATGTTTAAAAATAGAATATCTCTCTTAAGCTCCTGGATATCGCCTAAGGTCGAAGACAGTAGGGGTGGAGCTGTAGTGCAGCGGTGAGTGTACTGCGCGCTATGGACCCGGTGACCCGAGTTCAGTTCCCAGCCGTGACCAACAATGAGTGGCGATTAATATCTGAACCTTGACTTAAAGCTTTCGTGACTGCAGCAATTCATATTCTTTGGGTCTTTCGGTAAAGTCATGTAGATGGGTTCAAGGAAAATAACCAAAAACTACGACGTTTCGATCGCAACACAAGCGGTCATCAGGAAAAGGGGGTTAGCTTCTGATGGCAAATTGTTTATAAAGGTTGAAAATGGGCGTAGCCCAAATGTCAGCAGCATGGTAATGTAAGTGATGACCAGCGACCGCGATTGGCGGTGGGATTCCACCAATTGAAGGGCTGCCAGGTAAAAATTTGCATGTTAATGTAAGATCGCAGAGCCGACGCCACGTCGAGGTACGGCGTGCGAAGGTGGCTGTGTTGGTATAAGAAATCTTACCTGTTAATGTAAACCCATCTTCTCGGTTGAAATTGTGTCTGTGTCTGTATATATATCAATGGCTTCATGAACGAATCTTTGTTGATAGCCAGTGGGTATGCAAACCAGTAGGTTTGCAAACCAGTGGCTATCAACAAACATTGATTAGTTCACCTTCGCGTGTCGTACCTCGACGTGGCGGTTGCTCTGCGATCTTACATTGACATGCTAATCTCTCACATTGACATGCTAATCTCTCACATTAACATAGCCACCTCAGCACGCTCGCCGTGGAGGACGCTCAATGATTTCACATTAACATGCCAATTTTTACCTGGCAGCCCTTCAATTGGTGGAATCCCACCGCCAATCGTGGTCGCTGCCCATCACCTACATTAACATTAGCTGCCCCAAACATGCTGCTGACATTTGGGCTACGCCCATTTTAAACCTTTATAAACAGTTTGCCTTTAGAAGCTAACCCCCTTTTCCTGATGATGACCGCTTGTGTTGCGATCCAAACGTCATAGTTTTTTTTGTTATTTTCTATGAACCTATCTACGTTTATTTTCCTGAAAGACCCAAAGAATCTAATATCTGAACCTGTTTTATCCCCCCGTCACCACTTCCGAGTCCCCTTCAGTTTATATTTGACCAGTATGGTGGAACATGGTCAAACCACACCCCTATTACTAACAAGACGCAGCGAGACCTTCCAGTAGTGAATTGACGAGGGATCTACGGACTTGTTTTTTGTTTTAACTATGGCACTGGTCATCTGTTAATGCTGGAATATCATTTATACAGGATTCTTAGTATCGTGGGAATTGTCTTAGTCTTTATGACAAATGTTTGATTTACAAATTATTAAATGCTGCTAATTAGACAGTTGGTAGAACATATGACAAAACGATTTTCAAAAAGGGAATTCATAATTAAGTGTTGCATTGGGAAATAATTATTCAAGTTCAGTAATCTGCTTGCATGAGATACGCTAATACAGTCGTGATAAACAAAATAAATGTTTTTCTTATTTTTGAAAAATGTTGCCACTAAGAATGTAAATTTCTTTAACATATTAATTATTTTTGTAAGACACTTCATGACAATGTATCGTGCACACTTACCTGTGTCGAACAAATTAAAGATGGTGTACTTTGTTGATATATTGCACTGCTGCCATTTTTATTTACTGGTGCCGTGTATTATTGCCATGGGTGCTCGGAACTCAATAAAACAACATCTAGGGCTGCGTTGGCAGCGGTGCTTAAGAACAAATGAACAAAAAATGCCCTGGCAACGTTAGCTTATTTTTATTCTCTTGCAAGGCAACAATGAATGAATGTGGCCATTTTTATAAATACAAATGTAATAATGGAGTAACGCACGCTTAATAATCACATCAACATCTCATTAGGAAGCCTACCTTTAATGTTATATTGTTGTAATTGAAACATTTAATCTGGTATATCCTCTTTACAAAAGGCACTCCCAAAATGCCATTCTGTAATTTCCTATTTTATTAATTAACATTTATTTCTTACAGATTATATGTGTGCGCATTACAGCATCAACAATCATTTGCAAACATGGATATTATTGTCTGTTATTACTGTGAACCTTCATAATTTAAAATAAAATACACTAATTGATGCAAACAGAGATGGCTTTTCCATTAAATAAATATATTTTATTGTGTTAATATTCAGCAATTTCACATGTTTAATGCTCTAACATATAAAACTCACTTGAGTGCACACCAAGACGGACAACAAAACAGCATCGTAAAAACAATTATTCCTGAGTTTGAATTAATTTCAAACCTCATTAAAAGCATTTCTGCTATTTTAATGTCGTTTGCTTATCGTTTTAAAGAATTCTACAAACAATTAGGTTTTTATCGAAAAAAAATCTCTCACACTGCATTGAAAAAGGTCAAGATACTTAACAAAAAGTCATTTAATAAATACTATTTCGCGCAAACAATTTCCAAAAAGCACATTTTCAAAACCTCACTCGCAAGTTGGCATTGCCTTTAAATCACCAAGATTGTCATTTATATAAGCATTGAAAAACTATGTTTATTGTTATAGTTTTATGCTCTGCTTTTATGCTAAGCTGTGATGGATTTGCTTTTGACACCAATGGCAATATGCTGCAGCATTTCGTCCCGCTCAATAGCGGACCAGTCTTGTCCAAGCAAGGTCTGCGATGAACAAACGGTGTGGGGTCGATCTCTTGAGAAGCAAATCTTAACCACGAGAAAAATGTAAATATTTTTCATGTTTACTGGAATTAATTCTGTCCACATCTGGTGGTGAGAAATGTTGCGTGAGAAGTCAAGCTCATTTGTGATGGGGCTGAGGCCATCAACTCGTTATGTTTAAACCTGGTTCGAATCCCTGGCGGTTGCCCATATTCGAACCGAGAATCTCGCGAGCACCAGCCTCTACCCTCTGACCTCTGAGCTACCCATTGCGGAATTGGCATTTGTGCGCTTGCCATTTGTTGCATGCACGCAGTCGATGCATTTGAACAGGGCCTGTTTATGTTACACAGTGGAAGACAAAAACGATGTCGGGAGGTTGGACCCACCGAGCCCACGGCCCATTTAATGCTCCCCGGCAGAGGGGAGTGGTGTGCGGGAGGTTACAACGACAGCTCCTGCTCTGCCAGCTCTTCTGGCGTGGCCCCGCTGACGGGTGAGGGCAGCGTGTAGCCCAAGCTGTACGAGCCCTCGCGCGCGCGCCCCAGGCACGACAGCACCACCTCCAAGCCGAGCTGCACTGTCGCATTCACCTCGTCGGTGCTGGCGCCCAGCAGTGGATTCACCTCCACCAAGTCCATCGCTGACAGGCAGCCTGGATAAGGTACACGCACGCAATTGTCAGAGATTTGGGACCATAAACATTCCATTTGTGCCTCTACAATGTGCCCTTTCTCATCAGATCTCGGCTTGGAAGCTAAACAGGGTTTAGCCTTGTTTGCACTGTACTCGCTTCAGCCACTGCCTGGGAATGTGTTTTAAATTTGGCCATTGAGGTGACGAGGAGATGACAGTACATCAAGGGGTTCTTGTGTCCATCTGTGGAGCTTTTGAGTGTTACGCCCTTCATGTTTTTTTTTTATATACCAGGTCCTCTCGCTTTACCTGGATGAAATGCATCCTTATTATTGATTTGAAGCTCTCATGACTGCAGGAATCCATACTCTCTTGTTCTTTCGGTAAAGTCACGTAGATAGAAACAATAAAATAAAACACGACGTTTCGATCGCAACACAAGCGTCCGTCTTCAGGTGTGAAAAAATTATCTGCTGTTGTGGCTTTACATAGGCACGGGAGGGGAGAGGGGGGGAGGAGTTTGGCTGTGGGAGTTCACAGGGGAGAGGGGGGAGGGTTTGTGGCTTGCAGGGACGGGTGGGGCTAGAGACTTGTAGTTCAAGTCGTAATCGGACGACGACAACCGGGTGGGTGAGTGAGGACAACGACTACCGGTTACAACTTGTACTACAAGTCCATTTACTTGCGAATTTCTCTCGCCCCACCCGTCCATGCACGCCACAAACCCTCTCCCCTGTGAACTCCCACAGCCAAACTCCCTTCCCTCTCCCCTCCCGTGCCTAAAAAAGCCACATCAGCAGATCATTTTTCACACCTGAAGACAGACGCTTGTGTTGCGATCGAAACGTCGTTTTTTATTTTATTATTTTTTCTATCTACGTGACTTTACCGAAAGAATCAGAGAGTATCTTTATTATTCTTGTAATACATGGAATTCCAAGTAAATAGACCTGCTACACTTTTACTGGAATATAACGATGTTATGGGCCGTCCATAAATGACGTCACGTGATTTTTGACGATTTTTTGACCCCCCCCCCCTCGTTACACGGCGCGTCACAAAAAGTCAGACCGCCCCTCAAATATTACGTCACAGAGCTCTGCCCACCCCCTCCAAAAAAAACATGCTTCAAATCGCTTTAAACTATTGTCATTGTAGTGTGTATTTAATGTGGCGCTGCACTCTGATATTGTAGGAGAAAACATTTATTAAAAAGTCTATTTAATTAAGTAGAACGTGTTGTCTATATTTATTTAAAGTTGCGCATTTTGATTTGACGTCACATTTATCATACCCCCCCCCTCCTCGTCACACATCGTCACAAATGTCTGACCCCTCCCCCCAGGTGCGTGACGTCATTTATGGACGGCCCCTTAGCAATACACTTACCAGAGTTGTGGACTTCCTCGGCAATGTAGAGGCCTTCTCTGTAGGTGAGGCCTCCCAAGACAGGGGTTCCAGTGGCAGGGGCCAGCGATGGGTCAAATGCATCGATGTCGTAGCTTAGGTGGATCGGCCTCCGTCCTCTGGTGCACACATCACAACAGATACATCTCAGGTAAATGTATTGTATTTTTTACAAGGTCAGGCCTACTGAGCTATCTCGCTCTTTTTCAGAAGCGACATGGCCACAAATGATAGCTCAACGAATGTGGCTTATGTGGAAATGTATCGCGGTGAAATGCTCTAAAGGCATGTTTCTAAATGTGGAGGAGGACCCAAAGAAAAATCCACGTGACCACGGGGAGAGAGACATGCAAACTCCAAATATACAGGCGTCCGGGGTGGGATTGAACCCACGACCTGCATACCAGGCGAGGTCGTTAACATCTCGCCACCACAGTACACCAGTAATAGAAGCCTTAGCATAATTAAAAATGCTGTTTTTAAACATTACACAATTGTGATATGTTTTTATATTCTTAAAAAAATGTCCTCGTGTTTAATGTCAGTGCTCCCCACCTCGGATTGAGAAATTCCAGCGACATCTCCATCACCTTGCGGATGCCAAGCCGGTCCACGTGACGCATGGAGAAATACTGCATCCCGTAGTTCTTCAGAATGTAACTAAATGAGGTCAGGAAATGGGATAGTATGAATTCTCTGCAGTAATGAGTTCATGAACGTCTGTGTAAAGGAGCTTTATACTAATCGGATTCCAGTGTCAATAAATATTCTGATAACGCACGATGCAAATACATGTTTGGGGGTGGGCGGTAATCCATAAAATACGATGTAAATACTTTATCAACAAGGTGTCTAGGATTTACCTATAATGTTCATGAATTTGGAAGAACCTGTGCATTTATCAGAAAAAAAGTAGGAATGCCCTTTGTCGAACAGGAAAGCCTGGACTCTTTTTCAAAAGGCTGTCAAATACCATATTTGGAAACGGAAATGCCCATATCGAACAAGTGACAATGTAAAACTCAGACAGGTTCAGTTACTGCCATCCCATAGCCACCTTGGCAGTCTGCCATCCCAGCACTAACTCGGCTCAATCGCTTAGTGTCACGAGATCTCGCAAGATCAGCACGACTGAGGGGGTGGGGGAATGGGGGTATTAGGTTGCGTACAACAATTTCACGATATTTCATCATGCTGGGCGGCAACCTGTCATGGCAGACAATTGCTGACGCAAGCTCGTGAGCTTTATGTCGTAAGTGTAGTAATTAATTAACTGTCAAAGAGTCAAGTGGTGGACGTACTGTTCGCCAGGGTCGATGTCCCGAAGCCCAATGTACACAATGTCCTGCACCGTCAAGCAAGGGGAGACCCATGACAAGCCGGGCACAGCTGGTACCTGCTCACGTACAACAACAGCAGCAGCACATGTCAGCACTCAGACCTCGGCGAGCACATTCAGTCAAATAAAGCTGAGTCTTTTTAATTTTTTCAAATCGCTATTATGTGTGAAAGTATGTCTGTAAGTGCAACATATTTTGTTACATTTCGGACTTTACACTGCATTTTAATATATAGGCGTGTTTTATGAAAGTTGTGCACCAACTATAAATACGTACTGCTATTTCACCATATTCTATTCTTGGTGATGGATTTTGTAGCGATATTACTTGCAAAACCTCCGACTACAAAATTCGACCGTGTCCGTGCAGTACTCGCCCAGCTGCATTGGCTTGCAGTTGCCGAACGAATCCATGACAAGGTCGCACTGATTACACATAACGTGCTTGCCACACATTAATTGCAATACCTTGATCTCGTCATGGAGCATAAAACATCACGTGAACTCCGGTCATCCTTGCAGTGGCGTTTGGCTAACCATCGAACAAAGACGGTCACCGCATCATGCGCTTTCAGATGCGCCTCTGTGATCGTCTGGAACGCTCTTCCTTCCGATATTAGGAAGCCACTACAGCTCTGCATTTATAAAAAAAAAAATCGAGATTGAAAACTAATTTCTTTAGAACTGCTTTTTGCGTTTAGTTTATCGTCCTTCCCCTGCACCTCCGATTAGCACGGTTGACAATGAACGGTGCAAAAGAAGTTCAACATAATGCACCTCAATTGGATCTAATAATCAAGTTATGGGATAGTTGTCTTTAACCTCTTCGCAGATGTTTTTTTTCCAATTATCTTTACGAATCACGCCTAGCAAAGCCCCAGAAACTTGATGAGTATTTCACCTCCACCGTGAGCCACTGACGAACTATGTCCCTCTCGGGGTGTGTTTGTGGGTGGCCCTGCTTTGCCCACCGCCACAAGCACCCACCTTGCTCGTCAGCTCTTGCAGGAGAAACGCGAGTGGCTGGCCGTGCAGGTTCCCGGACGGCGACGTGAGTGGCGTGTTAATGTCGGCGTGAGCATCCACCCAGATCACGCCCAGGTTGGGCCGTGCCATTGCGTGCCCAGACACCGAACCTATCGCCAGGCTGCGCACAATACACATTCGTGTTCAGCGCACATGCACAGTGCAATCTGCGGCCTGCTGAGTGACCCACAGAAATATTTGCGGACATTTATTTTTAGCAGAGTACAAAAAAAAGAACGGTGCTGAAATAGTATTGTTACGTTCATGGTGTTGCAAATTATTCATGCATGCATCTAATCGGCAGGGTAAGAATTGACGAGCTTTCCATTTACATAAGTTTCGTCATTTGTTTACATATTTTGGTGACTTTACTGAAAGACCCAAAGAGTACGTTTACATATTATTTAGTTATCGCGTTATATGATGTATCCACCGTCACCATTGGCAGGACACTGGCACATATGTATGTGTACTCAACCGAATGTATCCAGCACAATGAAGAGTTTTGCCCAACAGACATTGTACATTGTGGGTGGCTGGTGGATGTTGGTGGGTGATGGCATAGACAGAAAGTTTGCTTTGAAACTCGTTGCTGTATTCATTTGCAATGATGGGTGAGAGTGGATTGGTGGGTGGGTGGGTTCGTTGGTTGGTTGGGTGGGTGGGGTGTACTGGTGGGCTGGTTGGTGGGTAGGTGGATCAGTGGGTGCCTGGCTGAGTTGGTGGGTAAGTGGGTAGGTTAGTGGGTAGGTGGAATGCTTGGAGGGTGGGTGAGTGTGTGAATGCGTGTGCACATTGGTTGGTTGGTGGCTCGATGGGTGGGTGGGTTTGACTGCGGGGTTCAGTGGACTGGACGAAAGGGAGGGTCGAGTGGGTTCATGAATAAAACTGACCTGTGGTCGCCTCCAATTGTGATGCAGGTGCGTCCGTCACACACCACCTGTCGCACGGCCTGCGCGAGCCCTTGGCAAGCCATGCCCACAGTTCGCGGGAAGGGCACGTGTTTCTGGAATGGCGTGTCATCCTTCACCTCACCAAACGATAGGTCTCCGAGGTCGGCCACGTTGTAGCCTGCCATAGTTACATACAAACATAGCACAATAATGATGAAACCCGTGTTATGATCATTAGCCACTGCCATTTTCCCCTTGGTAGCAATTAATCTAGCACATGCGCACAAGCTCAAATGTCTTGATGTGGCTATAAATAAATGGTGGAGCGGTGGTGCAGTGGTGCGTGTACTGTGCTATGAACCCTGTTGAATTGTCCGCCATGGCTAACATCATTGGCAAGTGAATCTGAACTGGTCCTGGATCCCGCCTTCAACCCGCGCTCACCAGCGTGGTGAAGTATGGTCAAGCATCCTCCGTTACCAACACGGCATGGGAAGGCCTTCATCCAGCAGTGGATTTACAAAGGATGGTACATTATTAATTATACAGCATTTACCTGATGATTAAATAAATAAATAACCGGCTAAACTCCGGGATAAATAAAGATGATGATGATTCTGGTTGGCGTACTGCATGATGAACCCGGTGACATCCATTTGATTCCCAGTCGAGGTTAAACATCAGTGGCAAGTGATATCCGATTTAATCTTCCACATTCGTAAACCTGCACTGACCAGCGTGGTGAATGAATTACGGCCAAACAACCCCAATGACTGACACGACTTGGCAAGGCCCTCCACGCGCACCAGTGGATTTGACGCAGTGCCGTGCATAATGTATGACGATGAAATAATTTCTGATCAAATATATTTTACGTGGCCACGCTTCTTCTAAAACCAGGCGCTTGCATTTGCGCGGTAAACATAATTTGAAACTTTAATTTATGTTTAACTTAAAGAGGTAAAAATAATCCTAGAGGCATTTCCTACAAAGTCTGTTGATAGTGCTGACACTCCGGAATTGCCGGTATTCCCGTTTGAGTCTCAGCTGCCTTTAACCACCACGCACGCTCGCTGGGGGGGGGGGGGGGGGAGGGGGGATCAGGTGGGGCTCTGGCTTGAGAGGGGGGGGGGCGTCAAGGCGCGTCGTGGGTTGTCTCCACAGTCATTCGCGGCTAGCCAGCCATACCAGACACATGCTTTGTGCAGGATTGATGGTCATGTGTCGCTGTGCAGAGTTACAATTCCAGCCCTGGGGAGCGGTGGCGTGATGAGTGAGTAGTTGGAGGGGTGTGTGTGTGTGGCATTCAGAGTTGGTGGGGTGGGGTGCTGGGGCGAAGCTGTTGTTCACGGGACTTGTGGGCTGGCTCAACGTGCTCCGCTGTTTGCGTGTGCTCAAATAATAATTATAAACCTCTACAGCCAGGGCCAATGAGCGGGGGAGGGAGTGGAACTATAATCGGGGACACGGCGATCCCTTCGTGATGGCTGGGGGTGACGTACACCGAGATGCCCGAAAGCGTGATTGCCAGACAAGGAGGTGTGTGTGGTGGTGGGGGGGTAACAGGATGAGTTGCGCTAAAAGTGGAGGGCAGACTGGATCTGGTCACGCCGGTTCGGGCCGGTACAGGGCCGGTACAGGGCTGAACTTCGTGGTGGGGCGTAACGCGGATGAATCACCACATGGGTGCCAGACGCAGGCGAACGCTGCACGGCCGCGTATTTGTTGCCCGTGGGTTTGCAGGAGCGCGGAGTGGGGAAAGAAATAATGAATTGAGACCTCCCTGACTCATATAACGCCGCGGGGGAGGGGGGGACGATGTTAATCAGATGGCACATTAACCCCCGTCTCCTTATTTTGATACATTATTTGGTTGCTCAGTTACCCGTGTTGTTCTGTTGGTTATTGCACTGCTGCTGAAATTTCAAGTAAAAAAGATTCTGTATAATGTTCGGTTATTTGTAGGAACTGTTTCCCCCCCCCCCCCGTTAACATTCCTTTACATGCTTATGGCAAGAAGTGTTTTCCAAGCCTTACAAACGATGCTGTTTGGGCTTGTAAATTATAACTGAAATACGTTGTTTATATTCATATGGAGAAGTGTATGCCGCACTTCGTTAGTTTCACTGGAGAAATTGGATTAGCGATTGTGTGGAACGGATGCTCAACTTGTGAGATACTCAAGCAATAAGGCAAAAGCCGACATTGGCAGTGCTATAATACATCACTACTTGCATTGGCACACAATGTAGTCGAATATTCAGCGGTCAGAAAACACGCTTCGCTCATATATTTATGCACCGAAGTCAAATTCACCTTTTAAAATGTACTTATAAAATTAACTCGTCCACACGAACCATTCGCTGCTTTGCCACAAAATTGTAGACGTTAGATGATAGATGTTGCCCGAGTTGCATGCTGTGTCAATGGTTGAGCCATGTATACTGGATGAGATAAACTCTCGCGAAACACGCAGAAACCACTTGAGAGGTGGGGACCCTGTTGAATTCTAATGTTCCATCATAATGTTGCATTACAATGTGCTTGGATAAATAAAAATCGCTTTAATATCAAATGTTACATTCTATACACATGTTCTACTACTCAACGAGAGGTAATGTAATGTATTTTATTTTGATAAAGAGCAAAATCTCTTGTAAGGAAAGATGTGAGGAGCCAATATCTATGTTTTTGTCATAATGTCGGCTTATATTCAAAAATACTTTGGCTAAGCGCGTTGGTGATGCCCTTTTAAATCTAAATTGTAACAGTTACATTTGCAACAAATAATCAGTATTCTTGCGATAATGGTTCACTGATTCTGTGGGAAGTGAAAACCACTACGTCCACCTCCACAATGCTAACGTGTGTTTTGATTGTATTTTTTATCGACAACATTATTTACGTGCACTTGTATAAAACCACACCGTTCAACATTCAAGTCAGCATTTGGCACCAAGGGTTTAATATTTTTTTTTGCCAGGAAAGTTTCAAGCTTTTAATGGCTCAGCACCAGCATGTGCTGTGCAGTGCACACTGGTGATACACATGCTTAATACGAGAGGATAGCTTTACCTTCCCTGGTTATCCGATACCGTAATGTATACGTTGCGGGCTAATCCCCTTGTTTACGATTCCTTCAGTGGAGCCTTGGGGCGGCACGCAATGTGCAAGTAGTGTGAAGGGACCCAATTATAAATCAATTAAAATTGCGTGCCACCATCACCGAAAGAGGGTATCCTGGCAATGAATCATTATTTATCTTTGGCTGTAGTCGTTGGGGTATGGAAAATGCCATTCCTTCTCCATGCAAAACGAGATTTTCTAAAACATGTTTATACCTGTTCCTATATATAAATGCATTGCTTGCTGGCTACGGTATACAACCGTGGCATACTAAACTGTGTCGCGTGAATGTACATTGCTTGGACGTGTATATTTTATAGAGGCTTTCACTGTCATGTGGACAGCGAAATCTTTTATATTAAAAACATATTTTAGATTTTTTTTTATTTTCGAATGCGTGCTAATATTTCAAGATGAGAGATGTAATAACCCAAACTTCACCCAGACGGATTTGGTTGCCTGAAGTGTGGAAGACAAACCAACATTTTGTCGGATCACCTGTCTGTTGTCTGTAATAATCTCTGTTGTGCCGACAAACAGGGCTGAGGATTGTGTCGCGACGCCACGAGCCCGAACGCTCGCACAGCTGCTGGTTGGACTCAGAGAAGTCGTTTTGGCAATGGACCAAAACTTTAAAATACCACAGTGCCTCCCAGAGGCCAGCGGCTGCAATTACGCCAAGGCAGTAATCGCCAAAGTCGCGTTCTATTGGCCAATAAGGATGGTGGCAGTTGTACTCAGTGAGTGTATAAAAAACAATGGTTAATAAAAGTGTAAATAATTATGTACATTTAGAGGATTGTGGAAATGTTTAAGATAATATTTTTTAAATTAACTTTTACTTTAAAGCACGTGTAACTTGCAATGTGTAAAACTATTTGCTGCCACTGTTCTCTGCACGCTGAGACGCTCTTGACAAAGAGCTGTAACGGCTCAAGGGGCTCGACTCAGAAAATACAATCCTGATTCTTCTGCTAAGCAGTACTTGTATTCTATTTCAAATTCATACAATAATTTGACAGCCCTTTGTCAATTCACCCCTGGATTGAGGCATCTCCAGATCATGTCGGTGGTGGGTTCTTTATCCTTAATTTCACCACGCCGGCAAGTGCGGGTTGGTTTCAAATATCACTTGCTGCTGCTGCTAATATCAAGTGTGTACCGGAATCTAACTCACGTCGCTGGGATCATAGCGACGTGCGTAGTAAACAACTCTTACCACCGCACCGCGGCATTTAAATCCACACGATTCAATTGTACGGGGGTGGCGGCACTACGTCCAGCCACCTTTGTTTCGTCAGTACTCATTTGAGGCTGAATCGACCGAGGGGAGGCCCAGGACCGGTTCAGATAATCGTCACTGGTGTTAGCCACGAGGGGCAATCGAACTCGTCGGTTTTTTTGTTTTCAAATAACAACATTTATTTCTATAATTTAATTGGCAATTGTCTATGCCTCTTTAACCTGTCACTTCATTTGAAGTTTGTTTCACATTTGTCCAGAGAGGTCATGAGATCTTTTCCACAAGGAATGCTCAAGAAGAAACAATGAGTGCTGTATGTAATAATTGCACTTGGTGCGCAAGGTACACAACAGCATACTTCTATAAACAATAAGGTCTTAATTTAATTAATACCTGTTTTTAAGTGATGCATTTCATACATGAGATAGCATTTGCATCGGTGAAAGACATGGAATTTTTGATGCTTATCCACTCTATAACTGATGAAGAAAAACGATTTAAAGGTTCTCATTCTGTTTAAAAATGTAGAAGACATTTAAAGTGGCCCTGGCATTGCATACTATATACTGTATCGCTTTTTCTCATTTTAGGGGAATTCATTACATTTATCTCAAACTCGATGTATCTCAAGTATAGTTTCATCGAGGATTGTACTGATTCATTTAATGACAATGAACGTACATTATCAATTGTCCAATTATTATTCTAAATCGTCTAGACAATTAAGATTTTATTGTATTTTTGGTCTGCTTGCTCAGAGGAATATCCCCAGCTTGTTTACATTTAAATTCTGGAAGGGATTTAATATGACTAAACACATACTTTGTTAATACAGTACTTGCTTTGGCAGTGGTGCGCAAGCACAAATAACAAAACTCAACTCATTCGTCAAGATCACTGCCTAAAAAATAACAAGTAAACCCGTAAAAACAAAGTTTTTCACTCTAAATCCTTTATATGCGTGGCGGCTAGAGTTCTCTCGTCCTCTGGCTTGAGATGGCTGCAATCTATGGGTCAGATGATTGTCTGCCAGTATTAAGCAATTGGTAATTAAATATTTAATTTGTTTTCCCTAAACAGTGTATAATTTTGGAAAAAAAATTTCACGAAAATTTATTGTCACATACAACGAGTCTGTGTGGAAAATGTCAGCTCGATTGGATCACGGGAAGTGGGTTAAAACACGAGCGAAAGATGTGCACGGTCCTAAGCAAGCAAGCGAACTTAATATAAAGGATTTAAAAATGTATTCGCCTGTGGAGGACGCGGGGATCGATCCCGCGACCTTTGGCATGGGAAGCGAGGGCGCTACTAACTGCGCTACTCCACCACGGCCTGTGGAGGGATTACGCTCTGGGCTCTTGCACTGTGATGTTCAGCCAAAGCCTGGAATGCGTTCTATTTGAATATATGTCAAATAATTTTTTTTTGCTTAAAAAGTGTAAAATTTTGGGAATTTTTTTTCACGAACAATAATTGTCTGGCACAACGAGTCTGTGTGGAAAATGTCAGCTCGATTGGATCACGGGAAGTGGGTTAAAACACGACCGAAAGATTTGCACGGTCCTAAGCAAGCAAGCAAGCACGCGAACTTAATATAAAGGATTTAAAAATCATAATATAGGTGACGTTTCAGAGTGCATAGAGAGGCTGAAGAGGTACAATAATAAAAAAGTAAATAATGTAAAGATGCATATTGAAATTAATGACACATTTAAATCATGACTTAAAGCTGTCGTGACTGCAGGAATGCATATTCTTTGGGTCTTTCGGTAAAGTAACGTAGATCGGTTCAAAAATAATTATATTAAATAAAAACTACGACTTTCGATCGCAACACAGGCGATCGTCATGAGGGACTGTTTTTGTTAATTTTATTATTATTTTAACCAATCTACGTGACTTTACCGAAAGACCCAAAGAATAATAATGACACATTTGTTAATCTGGCGAAACATTATACAAGGGTCATGTTGTATTGATATTTTAATAAGGATTAATTACATATGCAACTGCGTCCGATTTCTAAACATTACATATTGCATATTACATTTTAAAGCAATGGGACATTTAAATCAAATCCTGTCTGCAATTCTTTATATCAATTGTGCGCACGTATTTTAAATCGTACCTCATTTTTAAATGTTTGAATGGTCGATGATATTTCGTATCAGTTTCCAAGACGGCATTCCAGTTGAGCTTGTGTTCTTTTTGTTTTATATCGACCTGCGCTTGTTTTAACCCAGGTCTCCCTTGAAAGAATATCATTGTCTCGGTGGGATCGCGCCTGCTTCTCAGCAAATGCCAACTACTACTCGTGCATTAATTTTCATCTTTATATTTAATTAACGACCCCTAACATCGTCCGTAGTGTATTTTTCTCGAGGGACTCAATAACACAACACAATGCTGCAACGGCGGTGAACTCGGTGCACTCTCAATGTGCGTAATGAAAGTAGCCCCAAGGAGTGACTCTTGCCAGATGATTCACTCAATCACTTACCCATAAAATGTTCTTTTCGTACGTCGTCGATATTACCATCAGACCAGCTCATAGCGGTTTGCTGTGTGCGCGCCCCCCCCCCACCAACGAGTGAGCGATTTCGCCATATTGACTCATCCAGATTGACTCATCCAGATTGACTCATCCAGATTGACTCAGCCAGATTGACTTACCCATTTCCTCAATCTTCTCCACGAGCCCGGCTTTCCGCAGGAGCATCGGCGCGTGCTCCACTCCGCCTCGTTTCTGGGGAGAGCAAAAATCACAGAGGTCGTGATCACAGGCGAGGCACCGCACGTTGTCTGCCGAGTGCAAGTAACGCGCAAATCGCCGCGGGCAGCGGTGGCGTAGCGAGTTCGCCGCGCCGCGCTCCGAACCCAGCGACACGAGTTCGATTAGCGCTTACGGCCAACACCAGTGGCGACTATCTAAACCAGCCCTGGCCTTCGCCTAGGTCGACTCGGCCCTAATTGAGTACCTGGTACGATGTGTAAACATCGCCACATATTCCTAAGACAAATGCGACCCGACGAGCTGCTGGACTCCCACCGCCGTCTCATCGGTGCTCGCCAACAGCACTTTCCCCAACAGTCTGCTAGTGCTATACAGGGGATACTTTGACTTTGCAAATGAGTGAATGTGAGTAGTCACACCTATTGTGCGAGTGCGCGTGTTTCCACAATGAAGGGCCGTTGCCCAAAATGTCGCCTATTTTTCTATAAAGACCAGAGCGTAATTGACAAATGCGTTGAGTGGTTTGCTATTTGTGTACTAGTTCCAACGCAGCAGTTATCACCAAATAGTGTTTTATTTAGTGTTTAAACTATATTCGCATATGCTACACTCTAAAAGCTTCGTTCCAATAATTTGCGTGCGCTGTAGTTGGCTACGTACGGTGCGAAAGAAGTTCAACGGACGTGCGTGCAAGCCCTAAATTTGATTAAGAATGAATGTGTATGGCTGGATGATTTACGGTGATAAATTACAACATTTGATGACCAAAACGTTGGCATTTTCAATGGGAAACCCAAATCATCAGCAGCAGGACATGAAACATGTTGTGAATACAGACACAATTTGTCCACGTCTAGCAACGATTGAAACCTGTTACTTAAACGAGGCGTCACTGCTGCAATAACGCGGGTACATAAAATAACAAGACATTGATAGACATCAAGTTACATAACATTTATTACGTTATCGCTTCCGAGTAGCACGGTTGGCTACGTGCGGTGCGAGAGAAGTTCAACATACGTACACATACGTAACACGGGGAGAGGGAGAGAGAGAGAGGGAGACATATTACATAATCACCTGTCCTTTGGAGAAGGGCACGCCGATGATGCCGACGCTGGACTGACTGCTCTTCTGGAATAGAAACGACGAGGCGCTCTCCCTGATCCGGTTAAGAAAATGCCTCCTCCTCAACGCCATCTCTGACAATTACTTTGTGTTGCTTTTGTTTGATAAAAAAAAATCCGACAAAATCGCGTAACTCCAATTCCCCGCTAGCGACTCTCAACTCAGCCAACAGCACCTGCACCGACGAGCTTCTCCTGTGACGCAGTGCGCAGCGCCCCCCTTGGCATTTAACGGCGTCAGACTAGCCCACGTCATTGGCACCAAATCGCTGAGCTCCCCGCCGAGCCGCGCTAATTGGATGAGACGGGGGTAGGGTTAGGGAGTGTCTGTTTACGGCTTTCTCATTGGCCGGTCGCCTCTTAATGGGGGCGGGCTCGGTGGGTGTGCGCTGTTTGTGAGCGCCGGATTGGCGTCAAGGCGAACGAGCTGAAAGGCGGGTCGAGAAGAGGCAAGAGTAGATTTTGAATTGGCCACTCGAAGCGGGTCGTTGGCAGTGCCCAGCCTGGCAGTGGCTGATGTAAGATGCTGCAGAATTTCGTATAGGTTGCTATATATATAAAACATGTTGCTGTGGCTGAATATCAGACCCATGTTACATTGGCCATCATGCAAAGATTTTACTTGTAGGGTTTTTGGAAAAGTCTGCAATGTTAGCATTTTGCGCAAAGTGGTCCGAATGTGGTATCTGCTGGTTCTGAGTATCGGCTCCGAGACGAGACATTTGAGTGACTGGAGGAAGGTGTTCTTTGGGTCTTTCGGTAAAGTCATGTCGATAGGTTCAAAGAAAATAACAAAAAGCGACGACGTTTCGATCGCAACACAAGCGGTCGTCATCAGGTAAAACGTGGTGTAGTAATCACTCGTAAATATGGTTTGACATCTCACTCAATGAGCTGAGGTGTCAAAACGTTCCAGTTTGCGACTGTGGTCATCCAGAACATACTATTCAACCTACAACGTGGTGTTCTGGCTTGTTCACCTGGACGTGAAATCGTTGTTCTTGCGCAGCGTCTACATGAGCCATACGAAATAAGAAGCTGAGGCGCAATTTAGGTCTTGAACAGGAATTGTCTCATCGATTTGCCCAGAAACCTACCAATGTTTTACATCACGAATACTAGCGATTCGTGTTTGTACAGTCAACCCACTGCTGGGTCGGTCATAGGGGTTGTTTTGGCATACTTCAGTATTCTGGTCAGGGTTGGGAAAGGACGAGGAGAGGCGGGGAACAACGGGGGTGGGTGGCAGGACCAGGTCAGATTATATTATCACCCGCCACGAATGTTAGCCGTGGAATCAAACTCAGGCCACCGGGTTCATATCGGTGTGGGCTAAAGCCCTCCCTGAACATTATGCCTCTGATTGCGCAACATTCATATGTCTGTCCACGTGGTTCAATTATTCCCTGTGGCTCACGTTGAATTAGTTTAAAATCTTATCACCGCCCCCCCCCCCTCTACAATATTGAACGCGGCATACCATTTGCATTTCAAAAACAGATTGCAAACAAAATACACATGCTATCATGCCATTCAGAAAGAAAAAAAAACACGCGCGGATGCAAACAGCTGTTGTGAGTTTTTTTTGGGCTGTGCAACAGGAGTTGGGTGTAATGGGAGGTGTGTGCGGTGTTTACCAAGACCATGTCTGCCTTGATATTTCCGTTGGCATGCGTTGGCAACAATGAACGCGATGTGACAAAAAATGTATTTTGAAATGACACGTATCTTTTGTGTGCGAATGTTTTTATGGCCACCATGGTTACCATTTTTTCCAAACTTACATGATGGCTTTCTTGATTTGAAGCTTTCGTGACTGCAGGAATCCATACTCATTGGTTCTTTCGGTGTTAGTCACATTATTTTTCTACCTACGTGACTTTACCGAAAGAACATAACGATGATGATATGATGGCTTTCATTGCTTGTGCACGTTTTGTACCGGTTTGCAACCTTCTCAGCATTATCGGTCATGGTCACTCCACTGCTGGATGATTCTCAGACTCAAGCCGTCACCAACTCTCACAATTCTGCAATGCAACAACCCGCCTAGCAACCTGTACACGAGCTGATTGCATCGCTCCATATCTCTCTCTCTCTCCGATGAACGCAAGAGGCCTTTATGAGCAGGTAAGAGACCCTTGAGACTGATGCTAAGTTTCCATGGCTATCGGAAAGCAGGGCCCGAACTGTGCCTGGCCGTTTTCGTAATGGCCCAGCACAATTCACGTCTCGTCCCAATATTTCCTCCCTCCATCCCAAACACATCCCCTCTGCAGCTGGAGGAAAGTGACAGTAGGCATGCTCGGGTTAGGTTACGCGTTGGCATGCATCAGTCTACTCTTGTTACGATATAATCTATATATTTTGATAGGTACAACAAAACAGCAGCTGGAATGTTCACGCCGTTATATTCAATGTGATTAATAACATTGTATTCTTGGTTCTTTCGGTAAAGTCACGTAGAAGGGAAATAATAAAATAATAAAAATAAAACCCAAAATTTAACACGTTTCGATTGCAACACAAGCAATCATCATCAGGTGCTTCACTTTACCGAAAGAACCAATAATATGAATCCCTGCAGTCACGAAAGCTTTAAATCGAAAATTAATAACATTGTTCTGTGCTTCAACGCGTTGCAGGGTTGAACGCAGTGACGCACGAGCTCTCTCTCTATCACGATAACCCTGGTAAAGATAATCCAATGGATATGAAATGCAAAGTCGTGTTGCTGTGAGAGGTATGTGTATCGACAGTGGAATGTTAATGTCCCATTTTATTGAGGGGCTACTGTGTGGTGTTATCTTGGTGTCGTTTGGGACTGTTTTGTGGTTGTTTGTTTCTGCCTTGCCCAAGCTTGATACGTGAGACTTTTATTATTAATGTATTTATTACTTACTTATATTTAGTCACTTGCATACCCTTATCTCTATGTTTTCATTGTTTTTAATTGTTTGTTGTTGTTGTTGTAACTTGCTGACCCGCCCATACGTGACTTTACCGCAAGAACCAAAGAGATGGATCCTGCAGTCACGAAAGCATCAAATCAAGTTTGAAAAAGCGCTTCATAGCTCATCGGATTCCTCCAGTCTAAATGAAGATTGTGATTCTCATCATCGAGGGATGCTATCGGATCACGCGTCTCCCTCGCAAACGTGACGACGTTACAACTTCGTTTCGCGATCGGCCCGAGTGGAAATCAGGCAGCCACCCAACGACATGGAGCTGCAGGAGCCGGTAACATCGAACTGCGCGACCCGGTTGGTGCCGGCTCGCCTCGTCGAGCCTGCCGTGGGAATCTGGACCAAGCAACAGACCGGCTCACTTGCCAGTGGTCAATGGAACGTGGCAATGAAGTATCCTTCAAGGGAGACCCCCGGTTAAACATCAAATGCAGAAAAACAATAAGCAGACTTGAAGCAGTGAAGAAGTACAACACAAATGTCCCGAACTTTGGTCATGTTAAAGCCTATTAAGGCGGTGTGAAAGTACGTTGGATGTTTGGATTTGTTTCATGGCTATCTCGTGCGTCACATGGTGCATGTATGCTGACATCGGAATAGTGATTTGGATGGGTGACACCGCGCATAAAACAGCTGATGTCGGGTGATGTGGGGGCTATGCTGCCAGCAGAGGGGAGTACAAAAAAAATCCATTGTTCTGTTTTATAGTCCAACTGTTATGTTGTTTAAATATTTTTAGCCAAACAAAATCCACAACACCGAACTGCACAAGTAGACTGCTTGCCCTAATATCGCACAAGACACCAAGAGGCGGCGACTCAGATGGCTCGGAGACTTACCGAGAATCCACGAGGGCCGTACACCAACATTTGCCCGACGATGGACATCACCGGGCAAAATAAAATCTGGGAGATCCAAGACCACTTGAGCTGGTAGCAGCGATCAACCTCTCTTGGGGCGAGGTTCAACATGTTGCCAAGGGCAGGGAGAAGTGTCCCATATTGGGATGAAGAGGATCAACTAACTAATTTTTATTTTTCGTAATTCCTGTGACCCAGGTCCCTCTTGCAAATGAAACTGCCCTTCCTTGTCCCTTGAGTTCTAACCGCGTTATAAATAATATAAAGTCAACAACACTTCACCAACCCGCATTGACGAGCGCGATGAAGCATGGTCAACTTCGCACCACCTGTGTGGCATGGGGTGCCCTCAAACAGCAGAGGAATATGAAAATGGGGGGGGGGGGGGAGGGGGGTACACATTTGAAGACTAAGTAAATGTTTATCAATTTCAGTCGTTGATATGTGACCATTTATTTTGACTGGGTTATGTGTAACTGCTGCAAACACATAAGGGGCATGGCAAGAGGACATTTGTGATTGGTCGCCTCTCAGTGGAGTGGGTTAGTTCCTCTCTGCTTGTTGACCACAAGTCCCGTGCATGTATTGCTGCTCGTCATAATAAGTTACAGCCATGATGTCAATCCACTGCTGAGTGAAGGCCTCCCAACGTTGTGCCATTCGTGAGGGCTGTTTGACAATACTTCACCAAGCTGGTGCAGGGGCGGATCTAGAAACGTTTCAGGGGTGGCGAGTTGGTGGTCCTGAAATGTCAAGCTTTTAAAATAAAATTTTTTTTGAAAACATTCAATATATTTTCTCTGCTAAATCAATAACATTCTACAATTTGGCATCTCACGGTGGGGATGCTCAACATTGATCTGCTCCTAAGTTGGTCAGGACAGGTCGGTAAAGTGGGGGTACAGAAATAGTATAGTTAACGCTGCTGTTAGCTGTGGCCAAAACACTAGAACTCTAGTTGCCGGGTTCATATCACAATGCTGCTGTGGATATGGGTCCTAGTTTAGTGTTAAGCTATATATCGCATAACAGAAAATAATAATCCGTGGGTCCTTGACCTATTATTTCAACAGCATCTGGTCAAACAAGCCTGCTTGTTGACGAGACGCTCATTCGTGGGTCCGTGCCTATAAACATTTGGCAGTTCAACAGCATTGGTTCAAGCGAGCCTGATTGTGGACGAGACACCGAATGTTGAAACTGGTACATAATTAGCTTGTGTTAAACCAATACCGCTGAAAATATGCATTCCCAAAAGTTTGATGGAATGTGTATAAGAATACTTTTTCCACGTCGAGGGACAGATATGTGAAGGTGGTATATTGTCTTTTGGGTTTTTTGTCACCGATATTCTCCACAACGACACCGATGATTCGTTTGTGTCATGATTATAATA